GAGTCTCAGTTTTACAAGTTCTGTAAGTTTCTCTGCTAAAGAGGGCTGGTGCTTCACCAAACTACAACTCCCAAGACTCCCTCACATTATGGCACTTAAAGTGGTGCATTCATCTTACAGTGCAGTGCATGCCTTGCAAAGCGACAACGCCCATAGATTGCCTTGAGCCAAAGCAATTGAGCCGCTTCCATTCAACAAGGTAGATGCATTCTAACTAAATGGAGAGGTGGAAAGCCCAGGTTAGGAAGTAGCCCACCGGATGGACAGAGGGAAAATGGGAAAGGGTTTCACCTGGTCGTGAATGAAGGCGGAAGCTCCTCTTGTTTTTAAAATCTAGACTAAAGCAGGGAGGGGGAAACGGGGTTGAGAAATCGAAAGCACTCAGAGAGTTCGGTTTCTGTTTACTTTCCACACAAACACCTTTCTCCCTCTGAGAATATTGTGCTACGTAGGCATCTATGACCACAAGGTGCAACTATTACACTGTAGATAGAATACAGTTCGATACCCTGGCCCAATGCTATGGAATCCTGTGATTTGCAGTTTGGTGAGGCACTACAATTGAAGAGAGCTATTGACAAGCTGAAATGTGTCCAGAGGAGGGTGTCTAAAACGATCAAGGGTCTGGAGAACAAGCCCTATGAGGAGCGGCTTAAAGAGCTGGGCATGTTTAGCCTGCAGAAGAGAAGGCTTAGAGGAGGGTCAACAACATCTGGAGGGTCAAAGGTTGCATGGCACTGATGATGTGAGGAAGTTGTAGGGAGGATGGAGCAAGCATGTTTTCTGCTTCCCTGGAGACTAGGATGCAGAACAATGGCTTCAAACTACAGGAAAGGAGATTCCACCTAGACATTAGGAAGAACTTCCTGACTGTGAGAGCTGTTCAGCAGTGGAACTCTCTGCCCTGGAGTGTGGTGGAGGCTCCTGCTTTGGAAGCTTTTAAACAGAGGCTGGATGCCCATGTGTCGGGAGTGCTTTGAATGAAATTTCCCTGCTTCATGGCCGAATGGGGTTGGACTGGATGACCCAGGAGGTCTCTTCCAACTCTATGATTCTACTAGAGGAGGCCAAAAGACTTTGCAAAACAAGTCCCAGGAGCACAGCATTCGATAAAGATCAGACATATCTGATGTATCTCCTGAACGACCATATCATGTAAACCCCAAGATTCTATAGCACTCAGCCATGGCAGTTCAGGTGGTGTCAAACTGAATTAATTCAGCAGTGTAGATGCACCCATTAGCTGGCTGAACTCGTAAGGGAGGAGTGGGGGAAAAGCGTGGTTTTGGCTCTAGAGACACCTCGGCCATCAAACCCTCCGAGTGACCTTCCACAATTCTTTCAGCATTCCCCCTGGAGACAAACATTGCCAAGAAACCCCCGTGGTAGGGTCTCAGCCTTGTTTTGGAAACAACAACTATGGAAAGCCTTCCCCAGAGTGGGCACCCCATCGGTTTGTAGTTATTACCTTGTTCGAATTGCTGCTCCGCTTCGTTGCTTTCCACTTCCCTCTGTTTGGCTCAAGAGGAAAGCAAAAGGAAGAGAGGGGTGGTTTACGGGAAGGGCGGATCTGGGGGTGGAGATTAGGTGAAAAGAGCGAGCCAGGAGGGACGGGGGAAGGAAGGCCAGCGAGGAAATAGGCGTCAACAGGCGACCCAAAGGAGAGAGAGAGAGAGAAGAGAGAGAGAAAGAAAGAGAGCGCCTGGGAGGCAGACAAAGCAGAGCCAGAAATGCGATTAGTCCGGCAGCGCGGAAGGAGGCATTCCGGCGTCAAGGAGATGATGTCAGGGATGGAGCCTGGCTGGAAGCACAACGCGGCCCCAAGACGTGCTGTTCCTGTTCGGACCCAAGGGCGGATGCCAACTCCAGGGTGGGAGTCTGAGGAGGCTGTGCTTCCCCTACCTTGGGGATTACCCCCCCCCCCTATTGATTTTTCACACAAACATAAAACAAATGTAGACACCAAAGTAAAAAACAAAAACGTAAACTAATCCGATACAAAAATGACTTTATAATATTCCCACCTTCATTCCTAGCAACTGGGACTTTGGCGCAGCTGGCTGGGCGTCAGCTTCATTAAAATCACTACTGACCAAAAGCCAGCCCAGGTCAGAGTGAGCTTCCGACCAATTTGTGTAGCTTGCTGTCGACCTTTGCAACCCAAAAGACAGTTGTATCTGTCAAGTAGGATATTTAGGTACTGCTTATGCGGGGGAGGCTAATTTAGGACACCATAAAAATCTCTAGCAAGCATGCAAAGAATGAGGAAGTACTGGGTTGTTGTAGGTTTTTTCGGGATATATGGCCATGGTCTAGAGCAGGGGTCCTCAAACTAAGGCCAGGGGCCCGGGTGCAGCCCTCCAAGGTCATTTACTCGGCCCTCGCACAGGGTCAATCTAAGTCTGAAATGACTTGAAAGCACACAACAATAACCCTATCTCATCAGCAAAAGCAGGTCCACACTTCCCATTGAAATACTAATAACTTCATATTTGTTAAAATGGTTATTCATGTTAATTATTGTATTTTTAAAGTGTTTTTTGCATAACAAATAAGACATGTACAGTGTTTAAAAATAAGAATGAATTATAGGAATTCATTCATGTGTGTGTGTTTTTTTTTTCAAATTATGATCCGGCCCTCCAACAGTTTGAAAGACTGTGACCTGGCCCTCTGTTTAAAAAGTTTGAGGACCCCTGGTCTAGAGGCATTCTCTCCTGTCGTTTTGCCTTCATCTATGGCAAGCATCCTCAGAGGTAGTGAGGTCTGTTGGAACTAGGAAAAAGGGTTTATATATCTGTGGAATGACCAGGGTGGGACAAAGGACTCTTTGAAACATTCACACCTAGCTCCAGCAGACAAGAGTCCTATGTTCCACCCTGGTCATTCCACAGATACATAAACCCTTTTTCCTAGTTCCAACAGACCTCACTACCTCTGAGGACGCTTGCCATAGATGCAGGCGAAACGTCAGGAGAGAATGCCTCTAGACCAGTGGTTCTCAACCTTCCTAATGCCACGACCCCTTAATACAGTGCCTCATGTTGCGGTGACCCCCAACCATAAAATTATTTTCATTGCTACTTCATAACTGTAATGTTACTGCTATGAATCATAATGCAGATATCTGATATGCAGGATGTACTTTCATTCACTGGACGAAATTTGGCACAAATACCCAATACTCCCAAATTTGAATACTGGTGGGGTTGGGCAGGATTGATTTTGTCATTTGRGAGTTGTAGTTGCTGGGATYTATAGTTCATCTACAATCAAAGAGMATTCTTAACTCCAACAATGGAATTGAACCAAACTTGGCACACAAAACTCCCATAACCAACAGAAAATACTGGAAGGGTTTGGTGAGCATTGACCTTGAGTTTTGGATTTATAGTTCACCTACATCTAGAGAGCACTGTGGGCCCTAGAATAACTAAACTCCCCCTCCCCCCTCTCTCTCTGGCAGAAGGAGTTTAGTTTTAGGGCCCTTCCACACAGTCCTATAACCCAGAATATCAAGGCAGATAATCTACACAGGTTTGAACTGGATTATCTGAGTCCACACTGCCATATAATCCAGTTCAATGTGGATTTATGCAGCTGTGTGGAAGGGGCCTAAGTTTATTTATTATTTATTTATTTACAGTATTTATATCCCACCCTTCTCACCCTGCAGGGAACTCCGGGCAGATTACAATGTACATATACATGGCAAACATACAATGCCATAGACACAGAACATATATAGACAGACACACAGGGGCTATTTAACATTCCAGCTTTCATGAGGGTATTCTAGCCACCAGGGGAGCTGTCACTTTTTGTGACACTGTTGAAGTACTTCCTCATTCTTTACATGCTTGCTGGAGATTTTTATGGCATCGTAAATTAACAAAATGAGTTTCAACAAGGAGAAATGTAGATACTACACTTAGGTGGTGATGAAGCAAGCGAGGTGGAGACTAGAGTGACGTTGGAGGAAAGCTCAAATTGAATCTGACTGAGCATGGGCTAGAGCAGGCATGAGCAAACTTCAGCCCTCCAAGTGTTTTGGACTTCAACTCCCACAATTCCTAACCGGCCATTAGGAATTGTGAGAGTTGAAGTCTAAAACACCATTAAGAAGAGTGCACAGGCTTGTTTTCCGGTGCCCTGGAAACTAGGACTTAGAGCACTGGATTCAAATTCCAGAAAAGGAGATTCCACCTGAACATTAGGAATAACTTCCAAAACATAGGTAGAGGTGATTTTGTCAATTCCTTCTTCTGAATCTGGGTCAATGTTTTAACAAAATTTTCTAAATTTATACACAGTATGTACATTGCTCCTTTCTGCTATTTTAATCGACAAAATAGAAGATACCTGTTATTTTATCTTCAATTCTAATTGTGGAAAGTCTAAAAGACATCTTTGAATATTCCTGAACCCCCCCCCCCCTTTGTGCCCCATCTTTCAGAGTGCCCCCTTATGGTTTGATTTGAGCAGGCAACTATTAATAATTTTGGTTGCCTATTGCCCTGTTTATGTCTCCTACCTTTAATTATGTTTTCTCTATTAGGCCATTTAACACCTTTATTTCTAGGATACCTAATAGGCTATTCCTTTACCTTTCAGCATGTTTTTTTTATAACTTCTCTAGCAAGCCGATGCTTGTTCTGCGCTTTAACGTTTCTGACTTTCTCCCAACATCTGCTGCTTATTCACCTGAATTCCTCCTTAGTTATTTCCCCTTTTCCCCATTTCTTGTACATACTGTATCCCTTAATTCTCTCACACCAGAAGTGACTTGCAGTTTCTCAAGTTGCTCCTGACACGACAAAAAACAAACCTCAGTTGAAAATTATTTAAAAATCCATTCTGGTTCCTTTAGGTACTTCTCATTTTTCCTCCTCATAGCAACTGTTTGAAATTCCACATTCAGCACCTCACTTTTAGGAAACTCCCATCTATTATGCATCTTTTTCTCTTTTAGTATTCCAATCCTTACCATAGAATCACACATAGTATTTCCCTTGTTTACTGCAGTTAGCTTCCTTAAAGCCTACAATGCATGTTTCATTATGCTTGGCTTCCTCTTTCAGCTATATAACAAACTCTGGGTATGTAGATTACATAAGTTATAATCAAAACACACTTGATATATGAAGGAATGGGAATGCAAATGAAGCAAAGAATTCTTTTCACTTTGATTTTGGAATTTCAAGATCTTAGCAGGCACTGCTGTGCAATACCTTTTAGGAATAGAGAAAAGCTAGATATAGCTTTTTGAAGTTTAAATCAGAAAATGGGAATCACATTGAATTCTAAATATATTTTGAATTACAAATCCATCAGCTCTAGGTAGCATAACCAATGGTGAAGAGGGTTGGAGGTTGCAACACGGAAGGCTTTATTATTAGTTTTCCCAACAAGAGTAGACACACTGAATCAGTTACTGATTGACAAACCAACACTTCTGAAAAATCCCTTAACTGAACAGATGTGGTGTAGGTGGGAACACCAGTTGGATTTAAGGGCCCTTCCACACACCCATATATCCAAGAATATCAAGGAAGATAATCCACAATATCTGCTTTGAACTGAATTATTTGAATCGGCACTGCCATATAATCTACTTCAATGTGGATTTTATATAGCTGTGTGGAAGGGGCCAAAGACTACATGGTTAAGATCTTCAGTGCTGGTCAGAGACTAGCATAGTTAAAGCATTGCTTACTGGCCATGGTTGGGCCTTTCCACACAACATATAACCCAGATTGCTTCCAGACAGCACAAAATCCCGGGATTTCAGAAGAGGTCCACATACAGATCTGTTGGTCCCAGAATTTCTGCCTCCGTTGTTCATACTTAATGCTTTGTTGCAAGATTTAGAGGCTCCCTACATCGCTGCCACAAGACTTCTGCCAGAAACTTCTGTGGTTTCCCCCCCAAAAAAACCTCAAGATGTGGAAATGCAGATATGTGGGGAATCACTGCAACGAATGACTGCAAAACTTCTGTTCTTTGTCCTGGCCAGAGAAACTGTGCCCTCCAGATGTTTTATCTGCCGCACAAACAAAATTGATGGGGTAGGACAACTTCTGCCCAAGTCAGCACTGCACAATCAAACAGGAACACACACTTTCAAGCCAGGAACAGAACTTTGGCATTATTGACACTTTTTAGAGTCTGGCTGCCTGACCATCTGTCCAGACAGATTTTGTTGTATACTTGTGGCATCAAACAGCAGGGTGCTGTTCCTGGGTTATACATGGCTGTTCCTGATAGCACTTCTTGGGAAAAGATGTACAATATTGAGTAGGGGGACACAACTTTGTCCTGGCCTGGGAAACTGCCCAGCACAGGTTTCATGAAATCCCTGGCACAGAAACAAAGTTTTTGCCATCTACTCAAGTGTCTTTTTAGGAACCAAACAACTAGGAATAAACATTTAAAACCAGAGAACAAACCCTGATAAAATAATAATGTGCTTTCTGATTGCAGGGACATACAGACATGTGAAGATCTGTGTATTCGGCTCAAAACAGCAATATTCCCACACTGGGAAATCTCGTGGTTTTTTTTCTCTTCCTTTTGTAGCCATTGCTTCAGTGTTTATAGGGAATGGCATCTGGCCACCCTCCTGTTTGCTGCAGAAGCTCCTGGTAAAAAGGTACTGTCTGGACGGGC